AGTCCTAGTCAACTGATTTTGGGCCTCTTACACATTTGATTAGGAAATGTATTGCTTCTGTCAGTGGTGTTCAGCTCAAATGAAATTATTAATTAGTAATTTAGAGCCAGAGGTCTCTATTGTTTCAATCTTAGTCTCCTTAATACAGCAGAATTGGAAGCTGCCTTTGGAAGGGCTACAAAATAGCAACACTGAATTCTAATGTAATCAAATAAAATAGCCCTCCTGGGTTCTTTTGTGAATTTATCATGTCTTTTGTTAATTTGTGATTCTGACACTCAGAAAAATACTTTTGATTTTAGCACACCATAGGGAATGGGACTATGACTGAATCATGGTATAGTGTACAGTGCAGAAGTCACGAATGGAGATATAGCCCTCAAAACAAAAAATGTGTGCAATGATCAAATTAATAGATTGTTGTTGAGAATGAGACATGTTTACTCAAATCTGTTAATGTAGGGTTCTGTAATTTGTAATGTTGTTGTATATTATGTTTGTAAAATGTACGTGATATTGTGGGTTCAGCCACACTGGTTCACTGGTTATTGTTACTATCCATCCATTATTTATACTGCTTATTCCTGAAAGGGGTTGGGGGGCTAGAGCCAATCTCAGCTGGGTGAGAGGTGGGGGTCCACCCTGGACAGGTTGCCAGGCTATCACAGGGCTGACATGTAGACAAACAGCCACACACTCACACTCACTCCTACCTGCAATTTAGAGTCACCAACCAACCTAAGCTGCAGGTCTTTGGACTGTGGGAGGAAGCTGGAGCACCTGGAGAGAACCCACGCAGGCACAGGGAGAACATACAAACTCTGGGGTCTGTCCGGGCTCAAACCCGGAACCCTCTTGCTGTGAGGCAACAGTGCTAACCACTGCTTTGTTTGTTTTTATAGGACCATGTGTGAAGCTTCTGGTGTGAGGAGTTTTACACCCTTTTTTTAAAATTGGTGCTGTAACATCACATACCCAGGCTGATGAAACAGTTGGCATATTGCCATCAAAAAATACACTTTATCCATTCAGCTCTTGCATTTTCTGAGAATGGGGGCTGATGTAGCAGTTTGTCTTGGTCAGTGCAGCCTACAACACAGCAGTTCTTATGTTTAACGCCTAGACTGGACAAGATGCTAGTGAGACCAATGATTGTAAGAAGCAATGGTGTTTCTTAGTAAGGTGGTTCTCCAACTGTGGGTGGGGCTATGATGGACGTACACAGAGAACAGTCCTACAGTATACTAATGTGCCTGCTTCTTACCTAAAAGACATCTGAATGGCTTGTTGAAAGACATTTTCTGACATAGGCAGCCCGCAGATAATGGACTGGACTATCTCTTGTCACATTTTGTGAGTCCCAAATTTATGTGCACAAACTCTGAAAGAGTGAGTTTTTCATAATATGTTCCCGTTAAGGTCTGAACTTATTAAAGAGGCTTTGGTCCCCTGACTTCTCTGTGTGTGACACACAAGGCTGACTGTCTTTTCAGGTGATTGTCACTTGTCCAACTGACGCCCACTGGCAGCATATGGCTGATATTCAGAATGCATTTTTAAATTAATCAGATTAGACAAACATATGGATACACCTTTACTGGAAAACCATAATTCGAGCCTGCATGTACAACAATCATGACATGTCAGACTGTGTGATTGTGTGTATATATGAAGCTGAAATTAGATTCAAATACTGCAGGGAATGGATGTGAGGTGCATACATCTCCAGACAACATATTTGAGTGATTACTTCTAATTTTGCCGCATACAGTGTAATGACATCCATATAGTGCTGACTTGCATGTTCTTTTCCTGGTACAGAAAACCCATTATCAAAAATAGCCGTTCCCAATGTTCCATCAATAAGGCAATAAACTGTTGGAATTATATTTCCACCAGCCACCAATAGCAAATATACTTACAGGGATAAGGAAAGGCATAAAAACACAAAGCTCTCATTAGAACACATTGTCCAAGTTTTATAAAACTTGACAGAGCAGGTGTTATTTCCCGGTGGCATTCTGACAGAAAAAAAAAACATGTATGTGTCAGATACACTGAATTATAGCAGGCTCATATGGAGAGTTGTATACAAAGTGTAGTCTGAGCTTTAATTTTCAGTTGTGGAAAGGCACAGCAGTATTACTGTTTTTAGAAACTTCAGTGAAACAAACACTGCATTGGCAGACAATTAAACTAAACACTGTGTGTTATTCTGACACAATATTAAGCATAACTTTATTGCCAAGTATTTCAAGAACACAAGGAATTGGCCTTCACATATTAATTTCATCATTACTGACAGTAGTAAAAGTGACACAGGAAAACCAAGATATACTGTAAATGCATGTCATTCAGAGAAATTGCATTAACTCTGTTCATCTTTGTCTATCAGTGTGTGCAACAGCACTTTACAGGGTGCACCTGCTGCACACTGTTACACAGACACATGAGCTAAAATAATGACAGATTTTTAAAGTGATGTTTATCTCATTGTGACATAGTAGCTTTAGTGCTAAATAAATCATAGAAAAATTGAATAAGCTAATGGAAAAAGTCCTGTAATTTAACCCCATCCCTATTCAGTCTCAATCTGCACGAAGTCTTTGAAACTAAAGTAACTAACAACTTTGCACAGAGGGAGACGGACGTGCTTGAAAATGCGTCTGATGAAAAAGGAGATTAAAAGTTGTAATCTCAGTGACAACATATGCATTATGTATTGAGTACAAAGGGACTGAGCTGGCTAGGCTGTCACAGGGATAGTCTGTATTCTTAATATGTAAAAGACAACTGTAATACAGCCTCAAGGTAAGAACCAAACGGAGAAGCTTTTACAAGTGATACTTTAAGGAATTTATTAATTAAGGGTGTTTAGGGAGCTCATTAGTATGAAAACGGAATATTTCAGTGCTTTTCATAACAACACACATGCATTCTGGGAACACTTTGTGATATACAACATTTTCAAATATGTGCACTTCTCTTCGGTGACTTTTATATGTTGCTCAAAGCAGGCAAGTTTAAAGTGACCTTCATCAGGTTTAACTCATCCCTCTCTGATTATAGTCAGATATCTGATGTTTAGATTTATGTCTAGACTTACTGGCTCATCAAATGGCATTATCTTGGCCTTGATTGTGCAGCATAACAGTAATTTACAGATTATGGAGTCACTGGTGCACAAAGCCTATATATTGTCATTCAAGTTTAACATTGCCATTAAGGGTTAAAATGTCAAATAACCATATCCACTGGGATTCATATTTTAACTTAAACATTTTGACATAGAGCCCTTAAATTTGGATATAAGGAACTATGACTGTTTATATGTACTGTGCATGACATTTCACTGTGGAAAGTTAATGTTACAAAGCAGAGAGGAATATGGAGGTCTGTGTCAGCACCCCATTTTTTTTAATGCTGAACTCATGGTCAATAAATTCTCGCCATTTAAAAGGCACTTGAGTAGAATTCTTCTCTTAATGATCTAATGAAATGATGAAGAACTGACCTTCAAGACACATGGGATCAATTCTTTACCACTATCCTCATGGTAACTGGCTTTGTATAGTTCTGCTCTGAATTACAAGCGAGCTGTATAGAGACTGTATGTCACACAGGACTGCTCAGTCCTTCAAGGTTTACAGTTCTGAAAGGCAACAATGGCTCCAAAAGGGAACAGAGATGTGCAGGGATCCATGTTCAAAGGATAAGACGCAGCACCAGCATTCAAAAGTGAATGAGCACAGTCTTATTAAAGCTGTAATGGATAAGAAAATACTGACAAATGCTGCATTCATTTCTTGTTTGGCAATGAAATTTAGTGATCCAACTGATTGCTTGTTTAGACAAAGAATGGCAAAGCTTCACATCACTTGTATTTATTCCTGTTGAGAGAAAAGCCAGTGATTTAAAGGCTTGGAATATATTTTTGGCACCACAACGTTTTCTCAAGTGATATGGCCAGGTCAGCAATATGATTTGAAGTAGGAGTGGTGAAGAAGGCCGCTGTGCAAAACTGAACCAAATTCACCTGGCAGAAAGTTAAACCATGTGGAAAATCCTGGCAATGGAAAACGATCCCTGGCTGGAGCCGCTGCTTCCTCCCACCTCGGTCTTCAGGTATGGTCACGGTCATTTCTGTGCACCACTCAGGAACCTTTGAAGGAAGTGGGATGTCCAGGAACCCATTAACCTCCCCTGGGCCTGTGCATGGATTTCTGACACACACTGAGACACTAGGTCACAACCTCTGGGGAAAGCAACTGCCTTTTGACACAGTATGGGCAGGTCTTTCTTTTGTTGCTGGGAGACTCCAAGAAACGCACTCACTGTGCACTGTAAAATTTGCCAAGTGATAATAAGTGCTGATTTTGCAGTGACTTATTTAGAGTTGTCTAGTGTCGACTGCAGGCTTGTGTGTCTACTTATAAGGCTTTGGGGCGACTGTTTAAAACTGTGTAAAAGTGTTAAATTAAGTCTGCTAGCTGTGGGCATGTTTTAATACATTAAGTCACTGGCATGGTGATTTTTACACTCCTACTGATAATGCATTTCTGGCGTAGAGTGCATTATTATCGCTTCTTGGGAGAGCCTTACAGAGGGTCTGTGATGCCCAGCATTGGCCCCTTTAGGGTGCTATTATATTTTTATGATAAACTAAACCATGACTATATTCTTACAAGGGTTAATGGTTCCGCTCTGATGCGATAAATGATCTTTGTAAACCTGATCACAGGATAACTGATGCTCACTCTTGAAATGAATCTAAGGAAGTAACCCTCATGTCACGCCATATAAATGTTCTGACAGTTTACCGGAGATCAGAACTATTTCTAGGTGTTCTCCATTGGTGAAGCGTCTTCATTAGTCAAAAAGCGTGGGCGGGACTTTTGCTCTGCAGCGAGTCAAAGAGAAAGGCAATAAAGGGAGACAGGAGCTGCACTTTGCCGACGAGCATCGCTGCCGTCCTGCTTCACTACAGCATCCACTGGATCCCTGCATCTGCGAAAATACACAGGGAGTTCTCAGTAAAGGCAGAGTTCATCGATGTAACTCCGGTCAGTCCAAAACTGCGCCGTTTACCTGGATAAGGAGAAGAGAGAGAGAGGGAGAAAAGACTGAGACAAACGCGAGTGGAGTGTCGACATAAAACAGTGAAGGAAAAAGAGAAGAATATGATTGTCAAGCAGCGTCTAATCTTCATCCTTTACAGCCTCTGTGCAAGCGTCTTTAAAGGTGAGCGCTGTATGTTGTATAGACGGGCGTGGTGTGCGGGTAGTAGTTGGCTGCGTTAAGTGTAAAGATCATATATGATCATGTGACAAGTATAAAATGCAAAGAGAGATGATTTTCCTTCAAAGTGATGTGTGCTTGAGCAGCAGTTCTGGCCGGGGGTGGGGGGGTGACTGTG